TTGCAGGCAAGGTGTATTTATAATATTTGGAGATTAAGTGATATATAGTCACTAGAAAATTTTCTATATCACTTGTAGAGAAGCTTTCAGATAAGGTTTCAAATACGAACATAATCCATCTACTATAAAATTTGGGGTGGGGATCTTTCTAGAGGCTGTAAAAAGTGCTGACTGAAGACTCACTCTGAAGCAGAAAGACTAGTGCTGTGCAAATGGTTTTGATACTTTGGCTCTGCCATCCACACCTGATGGGGTAACATTAACAGCTGCAGTTAATATGCTCTGCCCCTTTGCTGCATATTTTTGCCATAGTACATGGGAGTTGAAAGGAATGTGTACCAGTCTGGCATGTCTTTAAATACTGGCACTGTAAAAGTGAACTTGCATAAATGCAGACTGCTGTTCAGTGTAGCATTAGAGCTCATTACTGGCATCTGCCAAAACAGATGTGATGGGTTGTACAGTAGATACTATTACAGCCTTTGGAGCTGTGTCTTGGAGCTCAGACTTCCCTGTGTGGAAGTTAGCTACTGAACTTGGTCCTCTCAGAAAACCGAGAGCATGCAGCCTCAATCATGTTACTGCCAGACTCCGAAACTTCAGAATATTATCCTTACTGTCAGTACAAAGAACTGGCTCTTTTCACCCAATCTGCTGCAAACAAAGTAAAGAATGTCATGCTGGTGCTTGTGTTTTGTGCAAAATCCCTTGAGCTAAATGACTCTTATATTGGAGGCTTTCATTATGGAAAATGCAGTCCTCCCTTCTAGCTTCTATGGGGAAGAGTCCCAGTAGATACAGCAGGTTAAAGCAACTGAAAATTGCAGTCTAAGTGTAGACTAGTGCTTGAAAGACATGGTCTTACTCCTCACCTGCTATCAGTACGGTATCCGTTTCAGGGAACTGATCCTGAAGAAAGCAACCGAACAAGGCAAGTCTGTCCATTCTGGCAGATTACTCCATTTAGATTTGCTTCTAGCAGCTGGGAAGCTTGCTGCTCCATTTTAGCGACTGATTTCTTCAGCTTCCCCTCTTACTTTCTACCAAATAGTTACAGCAAGTGCAAAACCTCTGTAGAAGCTAAATTTCTACTGGCAGTTAGTTGTTTCTTGGCAGTATCAAGCATTTACAACCTGTTTCTGCTTCCAGCCCTGAAGTAGTTGAAGTGCTTTACTCAATTGCCTTCTAATGCTTTGCCATCCTTTGAATTTCTTTGCCAACAAACACTTCAGAGATTGCCCTGGCGCTTACAAGTGCTACATATCAATGAGAAGCAGAAAGTGGTCACAGCTTTCCATGTCTCACTTCTCTGCATGCTGCTGTAGTTATTTCTGATACAAAGCTCCCCTGGAGGAAGTGCTGGACTTTTTTTTTAATAAGGGGATTGCTCATGACTGAGCAACTTCAGAATCATTTAAGGAGTTAGTGTTTTGGAAGGTGTTAGATGTTCACCTTCTGAAAATCAGGTGTCTGTTCAATCTGAGAAGTCCTCAACACATGCACAAACAGCATCTAAGAATGATGATTCTACCATCCCAGGAAACTACCCTGACTGCAAGTTGTGGGTAAGCTAAAGAACTTGCAGGCAAAGCCTGCATATGAGATTGCAGAAGGTGGGTTAAGTGTTCTTGAAACAATTTTCAAAGCTACTGTCAGTCATCCCTGCATTAATGTTCCTTATTGACTCAACATCCGTGACCTGACTCTAAACTTTCCATAGATCTTTATAGCGCTAGACTGTTTCTTTATGTTAATTCCATTGCCATTGTGACCATATTTTCCTGTGGGATACCTGTCTGAATTGACTTCCATTTCTCACCAGTTTTGTACAGAACAAGGTGTAACAGTGGAAGTTTTAACATTACTTGAAATTATTTTATTTGCGGAATGTGTGCATGTGCTTTCTTTCCATCTTGGTGTTTGTGAACTATGTGGGAAGGAAGGCTTAACTAAGTACTTTACTGTATCTTTTTTCCTTAAAATGACCTTCTGTCACTATGGCAGGGAATCCTAGAAGTGTCAGGGTTGTAACTTGCTCAGTGTTCCTGTTCAGTTTTCTTTTATGATACAGCTCATATATAAGAGGAACCTGAAGATTAGTTTCAAAGGAACTTCTTAATGTACAAGAAGTTTTTCAAATATTGGAGAATGAATAGGTGGACATAGGCCAGGGTAGAGATGACAGGCAGTGTGATTTGTGAAGACATGTCAGCATCTGAAAACTGGTGAGGGGAACATGGGTTATGTAATCTTGTAGCTAAAGCTGTAAGCAGCAGTGTCCATTCAGGCTGTGCTCCCATTAACTTAGGCACATGCTTTCTTACCCTTTAGTTAATCAGAAGGGAAAATCTTGATAGACATGTAATTTTGTGTTTTGATGGCTTATTTGATGTATTAGCTTGACTAGATTTACTTTGATCTTTTGGTGTAATCAGCACATAAATCAGTACTGCTGGAGATGGAAGAGTTCAATTTCATAGGAACTATAAGTGTTTAAATTGCTCAGAAACCAAATGTTGCAAAAAAGTTTGAAATTCTACTTAATAAACAAAACTTCCAAACATGCTAAAACATGTGTCCTTTGAACCCTGTGGCTCCTTTCTAAACAGATTTTGAAAGCTTCAAGAAAATCCTACCTGCTCTTTTCAGGATTGTCTCATTGTTATGCTAGGCTTCACAAATCTGAGTTTATACTGAGGCAGTGCTAACCAGAGTCCCTCAAGCTTTAACTGTAGCATGTCTGCTTCTGCCACCTCTGGTTGGGCACACTCCTTTAGTGCTGTAGAACTGGTGTTGCTGCTTAGGTCCATGTGACATCTTGAGTCTTCCAGCAGGATGGAGCATATCTGCAATGTGCCTTCTAACTTGGATATCCCACTTCACTGTCAAACAAGCTGATCTGGAGTAGCTCATGTGACAGGCCTTCATGCAGAGTGCAGATTTTTGGAAAAGAGCACAAATATGCATCTAGGTCAGAGGGGAAAATGGGCTCACTCTGAGGAAGTAGTGGGTATCTTCAGACCCAATCCTCCAAAAGAAACTATCAAACATCTGGATTTCTGTAACACTCCAGCTTGTCTGCATCTCTGTGCTTCATCTGAAATAAGAGGAAGCTTTGCAATAGCATTCTATTGTAAAGTTGCTGAGTTTATAAGTCTGAGATGCATTGTTTAACTTCATGTTTCCAAAATAAAAAGGGTTTAAACTGATACTATAAAAAGCGCTGACTGACTTTTATTCACCAAACTGCCCGTACAGCTTTTCTGTTATGCACTACAATCTGCAAGCCCCAGCTGCACCAATGTACAGTTTCCATTTAGAGCAGCCAGTCCACTTCCTCGGGTAGATAACAACACCACAAAATTGCTCTGTTTTCTTATCTCTGTAGTCTGTTGTGTTCTCATCGTGCTATCTAGTTGCAAAACCTCAAACGGGTAAAACAGTCTCAAAAACGTTTGTGTTGTATGTAACTTCTAATGTAATAGTGATAGCTTGTGTTCTCTTGCTTTGGGGTTGTGCCTCTGTGCAAGAAGTGCTTAGCTAGTGGGGTGCCATTCCTTAAGGTGCTAGTTCTACATTTCTGGCATGACAGAGCTCACCCTGTTCTTGGGCTTTTACGTGATATCCAGGTAGCTGCTCCTTTGGGCTGTTCTTGTTTAGTAGACAGGAGAGCAAGCTCTGGCTACAAGAACTGAAATTAACAAATGGCAGGACAAGAAGGCTGGACTTTGGTGGCTTTTTGTACTTTTGGATTCTTTTATTCACTAAAACCCTAGCTGGCAGCAGAGAGGGTAGCCCTGCAGTGTTACCTGCCTGGGTAGCTGTGACAGAGGGGTGCCTCACTGAAGAGTCTGTCTGGGGTCCTGTCTGGTGTTGCCTGCTGCATAACCTGCCTCTTAACCATAGCTTGGGTTACAAACAATCTCCATCTGCAATGTCGGCTAAAAAGCAGAGGTCCTAAGCTGATATGTGGGGCGTTTGATGGGTGCCACTGGAGCATGGGTGTGCTAGCGGCATCTCTCAGGCTGGCTGTGGAGTCAAGTGGCTGCTTCTCTTCAACAAGCCTGCCGGGGCGGTTGAGGCAGGAGAGCAGGGCCCAGGGCAGGGATCGTGCTGGGTGAGGCCCTCGTGGTGCTGCCAGGGCTGGGGGAGGAAGGACTGCTGGCGGTGGTGGTGCCTTCCCTCAGGGTGCAGGCAGCGGCCCTGTGGGCCCTGTGAGGAGCTGGGGTGGGCAGGGGCAGCAACACCTGACCTACGTCCCCACAGCCTTCAGCCAGAGGTGAGGGAGGGCTGCCTGGCTCGCCTCCTGTTCAGTGGGCTGCAGGCCACTCACACAGAGCCTGGTCAAGGGAGGGTGGCAGCGCAGGGGACCGCGGTGGCTGTGAGGGAGGAGAGGCCTGTCAGGCCGTTGTGGCGGCCTGGCGCTCCCATGAGCAGGAGCAGTCGCAGGTCTCTGTGTGGGTCTCGTTCTTTAATAGGCTGCGCAAAGACAACTAGTAAATGCGGTCACTTGTAGCGTGTCTGCCCTCCTGGCTTAAAACGATTTAAACAAAATGTTGTCATCGGTTGGTTATGGCAGGGGGTTTTTCTACAAAGGAGTTTCTGCCAGAACTGAAGCCACTTGTGTCAGGTTCCTCTTCTCCTTCACTGGCCTCCTGCAAGCCTGCTCTGGGCCACTGACAACCTCTACCTTGCTGCCAGGTGGTTTGTTTTCAGGTTTTGTGGTGTTTTTGTTTTTTTTTTTCTGTTTGTTTTTTGGTTTTTTTTGGGGGGGGGCGGGGAAGTGGGATGTAGGTGCATGGTGACGGGAAGTGTCTGAGAGTAGTCAACTCATTTCCATGACCAAACCTAAAACCTGATCTGTTAATAACAGCTCACTAAAATTTTTCTCTTTCCCCCCCCCTACAATTGGTAGGTATTCATCTTCATGAAGGAAAGAAACACTTGAAAAGATCTGTCTTCGAACTATAGCGATCACTTCAAGATGCCCCAAAGGGAAAATACTCATCTGCAAGTCTCATCTTTCAAAACTGTCTGCATTCTTTCAATCAAAGAGAAACATTTTTTGAGAAAGATGACTTGTGAAATCTGTGAACAAAGCTGGCTTCACAAGGATACTGAATGAAAGACAACATGCCTTACAGTGGACACTTATCTTGAAGGGGTGACACTGCGCTCTTAAACTAAAACACAGGCACTGTAAAAACACTGATCCTGAACAAGAACAAGGATTGTAGAAACTGCATCAGGATGTTTGTTAGTCCCAGAAGAGTCAGAAAATGCCATTTTTTGCAGATATGTGCCACTTGCTTCATACTGTGTCTCATGATTTTTTGGGGACCATTTGATAATCACATTGTGAGCCATATGAAGTCCTATTCATACAGATACCTCATAAATAGCTACCATTTTGTCAATGACAGCCTGTCTATCAACAGGGATAACTTGGACAGAGTGTCGAGCTACCAGTACTTGATCAACCACAGAGAGAAGTGTCAGCAGCAGGACGTCCTTCTCCTGTTGTTTGTGAAGACTTCGCCTGAAAACCGTCATCGGAGGGATGCAATTAGACAAACTTGGGGTAATGAGAAGTACGTTCGTTCTCAACTTAAAGCCAATATTAAAACTCTTTTTGCTTTAGGACAACCAACAGATCATCTGCAGCAAAGAAAACTTCAGCTGGAAGACTGGAAATACAGTGATTTGATTCAGCAAGACTTCTTGGATACTTTTCACAATCTTACTCTTAAATTGCTTTTGCAGTTTAGCTGGGTGAATGCCTATTGTCCTCATGCCAGGTTCATTATGTCTGCAGATGATGATATATTTATCCATATGCCAAATCTTGTTGCTTATCTTCAAAGTCTAGCACAAATGGGTGTGCAGGATCTCTGGATTGGTCGTGTCCATCGTGGATCACCTCCCATAAGAGACAAAAGTAGCAAATACTATGTTCCATATGAAATGTACCAGTGGCCCTCTTATCCTGACTACACAGCAGGAGCTGCGTATGTAATATCAAATGATGTAGCAGCTAAAGTCTATGAGGCTTCATTGACTCTCAATACAAGTCTTTATATAGATGATGTTTTCATGGGTCTCTGTGCCAATAAAATGGGAATTGTACCACAATATCACGTATTTTTTTCTGGGGAAGGAAAGGCTCCATATCATCCCTGCATTTATAACAAAATGATGACATCTCATGGACACGTAGATGATCTTCACCAGCTCTGGAAGCAGGCTACATCTCCTGAAGTTAAAAAGCTTTCTTCAGGAATTTTCAGTAGAATGTACTGCAGACTAGTCAATATTTTGCTTCTCTGTAAACTACACTATCAGGACACATATCCTTGTTCAGCTGCATTTTCTTAATACTTGAATTTCTGCGTTGAAGATCCACTGAGCCAAAACAGAGCAACAACTTTTTAGCTGTTTATTCAAAATATATGTAAACACGGAAAGAGGTAAAACTTAAATGTGAATAGTTGAGGATGGGGGGAGAGATAGTCCCAAATTCTGTTCAGAAACGTATTGGAATAGCCTTCCTATTGTACTGCAACTTTTTACATTGTAGCCTGTTTTTTTACACTCTTCAAGGGATGCAAGTCTGGATTAAATGAACTACAATGGATTTGACTTCTAGACTTTGAAATGCTTGGTGAAAACATCAGTTACTTTGAACTTGTAAGTCGTAAACTTTTTAAGAAAACTGTGTGATCTAAGGTGCATATGCTAAAAAAAGAAAATTTGCTATATCAAAATGGAATAGACCTTTCAAAACATGAGGAAAATAGGACTTCTGACCTGATGAGTGAGACTATTGCTGTAGTTTAAGGCAAGGTAAATTGGTTACAAATATTCACCATTTCTCAGTGCTTCATAGAAAGTAAGTCTGGACCCTGCACAATTGACAAACAAACAGTGAGTGCTAGAAGTGAAGACCTGCTACCATCTTTTCTCAAAGCTCCCTAAATCTTTAAAATAGGGAAACAGTGTTTGAGTGTCCTCGGAGTTGGTTGTTTTAAGTAACAAAGGAGCTCCCTTTAGATCAGGACTGAATTTGAAAGGATAAAAATCAAATATTACTCATGTAACTGGTTTTGCTAATCTTTCTCTGCCTGCTGAAAACTGAAGCAGTATATTTAAACAGTCCCATCTTTAATAAGCTAAATGAGTTTTTTTTCAACAATGCTTCTGTTTACCAATATTCATGGTTCTAAAGGTGAAAAGCAAGCAAAAGTCCCCGAGAATGTTTCTTGTAGCTAATTTGAGGCTGTTAAAGGATTTAAAAAGCAAAATTTCATGCTTGTACTAACAAAGAAGGGTATTTTTGGCACAAAGTTTGACTTCACAGTGAAGGGAGATGGTGATCCACAGAAACTCAGTACACAAATCAAAATCACTAAAATACTTCTCCTGAAGTCATAAGCACAAAATTGTCTATAGATTTTCAGGGTAGTTTGTGTCCCCAAAACCCTGTATCTTAAATATCTTTCTATGTTAATATCAACTGCAGGAGAACTGAAACACCTGTGCATGGTAAATCAGGATAGAACCAAGTGATGCTCAAACTCCAGCTGTTTTGAGTTGTACTATGGTGCCATATAAATATTGCAGAGAACCAAAGTTCTAGGATGTCCGCAGTCTTGCTCACTAGTGGTGTTTCCACAGACTCTCAGGACAGATATTTTAGTTGCTAATTGCCAAACTTCTAGTAGCTCTTCCTGGAGTGGACACATGGGCCACATGAGGTACACTCAGATACTGCTTGTGAACTGATTGGGTGGTGGAACAAGTTCTAGTGTGGATAGTGTCAGAAAATGTCTTCTGAAAGCTTTAATGAGTCAAGTTTATCAGCAGAACAATAACAATGCAAAAGCTGACAAATTATCAAGCATCTGTTGGAAATGTGCTAATTACAGGAGCAATGCTACTTGCTTTCTAAGACTAGCCTTTTTCTTTTGCATGAAGCTTCTTGCTGTGTGGAGCAGTGATATACTTGATCTGAGTCCTCTGACTTTACTGTAGAGCAGCTATCTAGGACTGGGCAGTTCTAAGCTACAAATAGTAAACTTTTGTTTAAATAATTACTACTGCTCTGGGAGCTGTGCTGTAGGTTTTAATGGTTTGAATGGCTAATGGTATATGTTAGCATAGATGGAATCCAGGAGTGAGCTTGCTGACTGTTCTCTAAGCTGCCATTTCAGATGGATGGTAGGTAGCTACTGGAATTAAGTAAAATACATATCATTCTATAATTGGTTTTCCAGAAGGAAAATGAATAAGAATCTTAACTGGACCCAAATGTTTGGTATATAAAGAGCCCACAAGTAAATTATTTGTCAGTATCAGAATGACTGAAGAATGTCAAAGCTATACTTTATAAGAAACAAATCCAGTTCCTGTTCTTGCTTAAACAGATTGATTACAATACTTGATGTGTGGTTTTTGAAAGAAAACAAAACACAAGACAGCCCTAGATCTGTATAACCTGGTGGCTTATAGAGAAATAAATGCACATAGAGAGAAAGTAGTATTCCGTACTGAAGGAAAGCTGCTTCATCAGATCTCTGACCTGTTGTGAGACACTTAAATCAACAAGCTGCACAGCAAAACTGCACTATTGGAAAAAAACACCCTGTTCACTGTAG